CATAAGTTTCAATAGCAACACTTTCATGTTTACAGCCATGTTCTGTAGACTTCTATACGCCTTAAAATAGTCCTTACTGTAATAACTCGTGTCAAGCACCAAAAACAACAATAAATCCATCGATTCGACCAGAGGCAGGCACTCTGGATCGTATTTTTTGTCTGATAACAAGAGAGGATCGATTCCAACACAAGAAATCTTCTCTAAATAACATTTTCTCACGTGGGGATCGAGTGTGTTCGCATAATCTGAGAGAGGATATCCCGCCATGTTGAAAAATGTGGAACACCAACATGGCGACTCAACTTTCCCGCGAAATTTGTGACGTCATGACCAAACGCTCTATTCCTGGAGGTTCCCGCGAAAACGATTTGGCCATGAAAAGAAAAGAATTCTGCTTGACTCATGTAAGGGTCCGTTGCACATGTGAAAGTTTTGTATAAATATAGGAATCAGACAACGTTGCTTAAGACTCTAGCTGGATATCATTATCCAATTTGAAACGAAGACATGTTTATGCGTCCATAAAGTTTAGCCCTGTAGTCATGCCGAAATGAAATCCATTTCCGAGAAAAAATTGCTTGGATATTAAATAAGATATCACTACCAACATTTCTGCTGCTTAGTCCACAGAAACTAAAGATATCAATCCATCTACTAACTTGCAATTTCCGCTGTCACATTGTAGCTTGATTAGCAAGCGGTTTCGTGCGTGTTCAGTGGTTCCCCATATCCACAGTGGAGAAATTTTCTCTCGTACGGCTCCGCCGCTCATTCTGTACGGCAATCAAAACACCCTTGAACCACCCATGAAATTGATAAGCGTCTCATTCAACGCCTTCGAACATCGCAAAGTTCATCTGTGAGGTGTTTGATATCATCATACTTGTATTGACCTTTGTATAATTTATCTTGTAACACTAGACTATTTCGACCTGTTGATATTTTCACTTGATGCTCTTGACTTCGATTCACTGGCGTACTTCACAGAAAGGAATACAAAGATACAGTTCCAGCATGACAGTTCCAGCACGAATTTGATCGGAGGTTTGGGTTAAAAACGATTCCGCGTCACACTTGATAAGTGACCCAGCTTCAGCAACCCGAAATAGAGGAAAACATGAAGAAAAAGGCCATTATCAATTGCGACACAAATTAGAACCCTTCTCCAGAAAAGGATGCACTAAAAAATGATTTTATCACAGTTTCTGTGATACTACTGAAATAAACAGCATGCTCACCGCATTAGATAAACAATGCAATATGAAACCAGTGCAATGAAATCCATTTTCTTGAAACACTTGGTGTTAATATGATACCTCGAAAGATAAACCCTTACTTAAATTTCATTCGAGTATAGTTAATGAACGTATTACGTCGAGGGCGAATCTCACATGACGTGAATCACGCGGATATTTTAATTTATTTTGGCTTTTGAATCGCGAAACGCCCCCTGAGAGTTGCGATAAAATTACAAGCAGCAACTCCAACCGACAGAATTTAAGCAAAAAGCAGTTCTTCAAAGAATAAATAAATGTTGTAATGGATACTTCGAAGGAATTAATAACTGCCCATCTCAATTTGATTTTCCGACTGATCGCCCTTCATTCTGCATTTCTCTCCAATTCCTACCATAATGAGCTGATCCCTGAAAGTCTTTTGGAAGGGTACAAAGTGCCCACAACATATTTTGTTTTTATTCTTGAGACAAAAGTAGCTGTAGATATAATATTCCCAGGCTTCGACAGATGCCTACATGAAGATTTATAGTTAGGGTGCCATCAGCGATTACCAACCAGTATATATCCATTGCACTTACCGTGTAAGGTTGCACTTCTTGTAGGTTATCACTAGAATTAGTGTCCCAACAAAACAATCCTTGTTTTTCAGCCGCCAAAATGTCGAACCACACCATGTAACGCCCACGTGCAGCCGGCATTCGCTGTTACTTTTTCGAGAACCGTTTAGACGAGTTTCGAGGCGCCTTCACTGTAATTCGAAACCGCGAGAATATTGTTTACAAGTTACGGTTTCCTTTGATTTAATTGGAGACAAATGTAAAGATCTACATACGCCTATCAATACCTGAACATGTTTAGTATTTGGTTACAAAGCTAAAGTAGTGATAGACACATATCTGTGGGAGACAAAACCTTCACTCCTTCTTTTGTTGAATGTATTTATTTTGGTTTGAAATGAACTTTCAGCACCTGAATTTTGATACACTTTGCATCTTGAAAATCGAAGGGATCGCATTACTTATTGATAAATTACTCTTTGTTCAGAAGTGTCAACAAGTTAAAAATACAATAGATGCGTGGCTGCCAACCCAGTAGCTCATAGAACTTTAGTTGTCACCGTCATCTGGCCAGCAGACTTAATTTGTACAAAGGTGTCATGAAACTAAGTAATTTGAGAATGAAAATAAATTACAAATGAACCTTCCCACCTCTTTTTTTTCCTTTAACCACACTGTCTTGAACTCTGTAAAGGCTGCTTTTATTACTGCTGGTTAACCTTAACCCCCATACTACCCCATTTCGTGGTTATAATTGTGGCTCTCTTTAAAATAGAGAACGGGGAACGGGAAACGAAAAAATAAACAGTGGGGAACGGGAATCGAGGAACGGGGAATTGAAAATGAAGAATCGTTAAAAACGGGAATCTTTAAAATGGGGAATCTTTAAAAGCGGAAATCTTCAAAACAGTAAATCTTTAAAAGCGGAAATCTTTTAAAGTGGGAGCCTTTAAAAGCGGGAATCTTTAAAACGTGGAATCTTTTAAAGCGTGAAATTAAATCGACCGAATCTATAAGCGGTCTGTGGAAAAGCTGGTTTTTGTCTCATAATTTTACGCAAGTGAATTCAGAAAAGTTCGCGACTGTTGACAGTAGTAAAACTACGCGACAGTGGAAATCCAGCCTACCGGTTTGATCGACGTGAAAATTTTGTTTTTGGCGTATGGCAGTGGCACTCGACATTTAGGTTTTCGTCAGTCTCAGAATGGTAAGTCAGTCATCGGCACTATTTTGCAATTGAATAGTCTGATCTACAGCGTTTTTCGTTATCGACCTGAGGCATTCCTTTTTGGGAAACCGGTGGAAGGGAAAAAGAACGCCTGATACAATCACTACACGAGTCTTCTGCCCGTCATGATTCCAGAATTTGGCATTTAGTCTGAGTAATATTGTTCGTAAAACATTGACGGATTAAACAAAGACATTTCAAACTGCTATTTCCTTCTCTAGAAAGTAAACATGTACCATGCCCCTTTTAAAGAATGCCCCTTTTAAAGATTCCCCATTTTAAAGATTCCCAATTACCCCATTCTCAGTAGTCCAGAACTGATTCGATATTTTGTTTCATTGGCCGTAAAACATTGACGGATTAAACAAAGACACTTCAGATTGCTATTATCTTTCTCTAGAAAGTAAACATGTACAATGCCTCTTGAAAGAATGTTCTTTTTAAAGATTCCCCATTTTAAAGATTCCCAATTACCCCGCTAATCAGGCCCGTAGTCCAGAACTAATATGCCATTTTGTTTCATTGGTCGTAAAACATTGACGAATTAAACAAAGACATTTCAAATCGCTATTCCCCTTCTCTAGAAAGTAAACACGTTTATTGTCCCTTTTAAAGATTCACCATTTTAAAGATTCCCAATTTACCAATTACCCGTCCCCGTTCCTCATTCCCCGTTCCTTATTTTCTAATTTAACGATAGCCGCTTCATTATACATGAATAAAGGGTTTGTCCATCCATCTAGACACACTCAATGATATCGCAGAATGTGGGACAAAACGCTCAAGCGGATGACCCCTATCAGCTGTTTTTTTCGGAAATTATTTGTCTTATTCCCAAAGCGAAAGTTGTTCACACCATAATACCTTGCGTGTTTTATTTCATCGACAGTTTCGATGTGAATACTTTTCTTTCATTGATATAGTCTGATTTCGTTACGAATTGATGTTGTAATGTACATAATAATATTTGTTTTTGTTGAGCAGAAGTCACATGCGGCGTATAATTAACTCCCACATGGGTATTACGGCCTAGGCCTCTTTTCCGTTTCTGTCTTAACGATGGTCGCATGTGATCATGTAACGCGTCCAATAAAAGTTAAGTAAGAAGTTAAGGTTACTTCCCAAAAAATCATTTTTCCTTTCATTTGACTAATTTAAAGTCAAACATTTTACCTAACGTTTATGTCCCAAACTTACCAGCAGTGGCAAAGACGGTACGATGGTTCCTGTTATCAACTTCGCCCTGCTCTAAACTTCCCCCTCTAAAAACAACGTTAACTGCAATTCTGTATTGCTTCCCTCTGTAAAAAGTCATTTTTTTCACTCACCAGAAATATATCTTTAGTACTTACCTAACTTTCAAGATGGAATTCCCTGATCTTTCGTATGTGCTGTAAAAATCAGCATGATCTGCTCTCCATCTGTCAAGCGATTTTAGACCCCGTCTTCATTGCAGCTCTCTAATTATTCTCTTATTCCCCTCCTAGCCTGTTCCATGTAACCTAAGTGTGACGCAAAACCAATCAAGCTCCTTTACTAAGTGATTTGAGCCAACAGTATTTCCGTATTTAGCCGATTGGATAGTGTACTGTTGGGGCTGGATGGCAAGTTAAACACGCTTGATTTCACGAAAACACAACCCACTTTATTTTACTTTACCGCACAAGTTTTCCAAGATGGTTGCCTACTCTCAACCCACAATGCCTTGCGCTTAACTAGACATCACAGATAGTATCCTGTTCAAGAAGTTAAACTCCTTTGAATGCGTTTTCAAAAGCCCTCAAATGATTTTCTCACTGATTTTAAAACTGATGTTTACTTAAATTTTTGTCAATTGAATTCAATAGTTAGAAATAGGAAATTAATTTCACCTCTTAAGAGGCCTGCGCTAATGAATCCAGACCGGCATACACAAAGGAAACCTTCATCATGGTTGAATCTAGCTTGACAAGTGCCATTGTTTAAACATATCTGCCGCGGCTGTAGGGATTCTGTTGATAATACATTGAATAAAAACTTAGTGAACATTTAACTCAAAAGAAGAATTATAAGACAACCCTAGCGACGGAACTGCCGAGCTCATTTCCGTCTGTCAGGTCTTACTAAAATGTGAAACATTACCTCGATTCCAAGGTAAATGTAGTCTCTTTATTCCCATTAATCGACATACAGTTAGGCTCCACATAACGCATCACACTGCAGCTCCCTTCATTAGGCACTTCTACTCTCCTGATCCCGTGATTTTTCATTGCCTTGTTTGGTATTGGAGAAAGAATTCGAGCTCAAACTGTTATGTTAAAAAAATTGGGGTGGGTCATTATGTTTAAGTCCTTACTAAATGATTAGATACATTTTTGTGTTCGTGAATGCGAATAAAGATCACTTTTGGCAGGTGTGCGGCTTAATTTCATTTTTCGACTTTGTTTAAATGGTCACTAGTGATATTTTCGGTGTGTCCTCTTGTATCGAACTGATTACAGATCCATGTAAGGTCAAGGTTATCAAATTGTAACGGCATGAAGAAACAAGATATTAAGAATTTTTCCTCACAGCACTACATGTTGCACTTACCAAATGCAACTAACAGAACTGGTGAAAAAATAATCATAAGTTAAAATGTAGATGATTGCAAAGGTAGCTGCCATCAAAATGTTTGGATCGTCAAACTGTGATAAGTCTTACCCCTTTAATACGTCATAAGATGATGATTTCATGAATTAGCATATAAATCAATTTTCGATTAAACAACTAGAGAACCCTCCCTCTCCTCCCCCCATCCCCCCCCCTCCGTGCGTGAAGTGCTACTGATAACATCCTTGTTTAATTTATATAGTTTATCTAAGTCATTTTTAAAGCTGACATCAGTTGGAGAAACGTTTATGGTCTGTGGACCCAACTATCATCCGGGATCATTGCAGCAGGGGGATTTTTTGGTGTAGACGATTTTTTATATTCTCCAATCTCATGCAATCTTCAAACACTCTTAGTCAGGTTCTAACAAAGCTGCAAAAAGCTGGCTGTGGACAAAAACAAAGAAATTAGGAGGAACGCATTTATAAAATTAAGATCAAACGAATCGACGGATAACAAGGGGTGTACCAGAACTTCTGGTACACTCCTTGTTATCCGAAATATAAATGCAATCCTTGCACCATCTCTCATGGCTGTGAGCAAAGAATTGGCCTTGATTCCATAATGAACTGACAGGCACTGATTAAGCACTTGTGCAAGATCATCGTCATTTACTGATTTGGAACATATATCAATTCTGACAAGACGTTGAATAATCGACCAATTATCGTCAAGGAAACGCACGATGACAGCAATTGCTTCTCCTTGTCGTGTACTTCCATCAGAAATCATCGAAACATTTCTTTTCCGTGCCAGTCTGACCAGGCAAAGTCAATTCAGTTTTGATACTTTCGAATTCCTGCTCGAAAAAAATTGATATATACTGACCAAGATGAGCACTTGCTGTGAGACGTTGGCCATTCTTCTCTAAGAGGGACCGTAGCATGTCGGTTTTCCTAATTGGGATGCCAGCCATCAGAAACTCTTCGACCACTTCGAGTCGGTAGGCCCGTTCAGTTATGGGTAGAGTGCTGTCTTTCTACGTCCTGACCCCCGCTCTAAAAAAGCCTCCATAATCGTCTCATCCTTCAGCTTAGACTTCTTCAGTTTCTCTTTACCATCTCCATGTTTCTTTGAAGCCAAGTGTGCAATTACAATACTCTTCTTTGCAGATACTATTTCGCGGCATGCCAGCCAAAACAACTTCCCGTCTTTGATTGATAGTTCTTCTCCTGGAAATTACTGAATCCGATCATGTATGCTTATGCAGTAAATAGTTTGAACCCGGGGGTAACATGTGAAGGTGTAGTCTGATCGTCCGGGTGAGTGTAGTCCTGAGAAGGACTGTTGTCGGTGGTAGTGACTGACGTTTTGACAACCTGTGTGGAAGTCATCATCAGAGTCAAGTGAATGATTGTTGTCAGTAGAATGTTCTTATTCCAGTTCGTGTGAAATGATCGGTTGGTTTTCCCGTGATGTTATTGGCTGTAAGACTCAAGTGACGTAAGTCGGTCGTGATTGGTCTGTTTCGATCTGTCGGTAAAGTTAGGTCGTTCTTTTTCGGTCGTTTGTGATGTTTATGTCGTGAATGAGTCGTTTGTATGGGGCGGGTAGTTGTTTACATCTGTTTAGGGGAGTCTGTTCTAAGTTAGTAAACCAGCTTTCCAGAGTCAGTCGTTGAAAATAGTCAGTGCTGTACGTTAGGCATTGCGCAGAGTCCCAGTCAATGTTGTGGTTGGTAAGTCGATGGTGTTCAGCAATGTGATTGCTGACATCACCTTTCCTCGTCGCCCGTCTGTGTTCAGTCAGTCTTGTTGTGAGGTTTCTGCCAGTCTCACCGATGTAGGAGGCTTGGCAGTCGGAACAATTGATCTTATAAATCGTTCCCTGTCTGTTCATCGGTTCGTCTTTGTCTTTAACGTTGGTTAGTAACTGACGTAGTGTGGTGATGGGTTTGTGGGCGACGCGGATATTGAAGGGTAGTAAGATGCGCGAGATCTTTTCAGACATGCCTTTTATGTAAGGGCAAAATGTGGCTTTGGACGACATTAATAAAGTCAGATTGTGCTCTTTAACACAAAGTTATACAAATAATCAGTCGAAAATCCAATATAATGCTAGCAGTGCTTTTCGGGATAAAATGTTAACAAAAATGCTCGTGAAGCCAAATAATGTCAAAAAAAGTGCTAGCACTATCGGTAAGAGCCTAACCAGAAGTACCACCTTTTTCATAAATTCATAAGTGACTTTTTCCTGGAACAAATTTACTTAAATTACTAATTTGATGCGGAGGATGATATACAATAAGACATTTCCATCTACGGCCACCTCGAAAGGTCGCAGTATTCAACTCAGTACTATTATTAAAATTTAGGAAACTCCTTCGGTGAATTTGAAGGAAGCTCCTGTAAAGGAACCACGGTGACTTTGGTCGGTAAGAGTAAATGTATTAACATATTTCTTATTTATATTTTGAGGCAGTAAACAAAACATGGAAAAGCAAATTGTCACAGTCACATAGGATCTATTAGACACCGAATTCTCCATAGGGGAAAGTGTGCTCCGATCAAAACTAATAATTGTAAAATTTAAGGCTATGATGATAATCAACAAACATGTTATTGAAATAATGTACAGAGAAACTTTCAAGCCTTATAACGTTGCTATCTTAAGGATTACACGATTAACTGAAGTTCAGGGTCGAATGTAATATACCCAAAGACCAGAGGAATGAACTAACAATGCCGCTGGGAAAATTGATGTATCAAAGTAGACACAAATACTGTCTCGTACAACGAACCAATTCGGAGAGATCGTGCGAGACTGGCATAGACAAACAAGTCCGCGATTAAGCCAGCTTCAGGACAATCTGTCTATCTCTCACCTGCAAGGGCCGTAAACAAAGTTGACAGAAAGTTTTGTCATAATTTAAGAAATACAAACCCAATGAAACCCTAAGAAATGCATTATGATCGGTTAATCAAGTTTGACATCAGGATCAATAGGCGTGTTTTTGCACATCTGGATCAATCCGTATTCGAATTAAACTCTGTTCATGATGAGTTGCTTGACGTCTGAAAATAGGGTCAGATAAATCATGCTCGAAAATTTGAGCATTATGCCGACTTTCATACTCAGAATTTTGTATTATGCTTAGTTTGATAATTCAAAATAATAGCTTTTAAGATCCCCTCACCCCCTAAACTCCTCATTTCCATCTCAAACAGATAAAACCTGCTAAGAATAACAGGCCTACCAAAGTTCAGGGCACACTATACTGACAGTGAATTCGTCCCTTTTGACTGTAACATTCGGTTCGTTTTTAAGAAGTTTAGCCATTATGCTGGCATTATACTTGATGCTCTGACTATAATTGCATTATAATTTATCTGACCCTATCTGAAACGGGTTGCAGTCACCATTATGACAGAACTTGAAAGCTGAGAGTACACATCAACCCAAAAAACTTCCTGCTTCCCCTTCTTTAGTCTCGTGTATTCCAAACAACTTTCTTCTGTCTAAAATTACCCCATTTGAAAAAAACAACTTCTGCTTTAATTTTAGAACTGCGAGTCATCGATTCTGGTTTACCTTCTATTTACACGCGACGCGAAATTAGATTTCAGACCTTAATTTAATTTAAGGAATAATCATGAACTACAACTTCCTTCATTTTGGAAGAACACGAAGTGAAAAATATATATTGATATCAGTGCCTCTTAAATGGCAGCTTAGCTGTGTCTTATGATCGACGCAGGGAATTAAATTTCTCGTTAAATCTATTTTCGGAGAGTTTCGATCTCGAATATTGTATAAGGTAACCATGACTCACAGTCCAACAATAACACAACAGCAATCGCATTGCCATTTACTGAAGGAAGAATCCTACACCAGCGCGATATCTATATCTACTAATAATAATCTCCCTCCTCATTAAAAACATGGCTAAGAGCTAGTATCTATAAATAAAGAAATCATTCCAGCCGTTGCTAGAGAATGAAGGGATCCAAGGAGATATTAAACGACGTCACTGCCTTGATTCCAACCCCAAGCGACCAACTTCGCATTAAGTGCCCCACATTTCATTTTAAAATCGTTTTTCTCGCTGACAACCTTTTCCAATTCCTCTTTTACTTTAGATATCTCCAGCTGAAGATCTTTATTTTCTTGGATGATATTCTCTTCCTTTGATGTGTTTTTCTTTCGACACTTCGAAGCGTACTTTCGATTCTTTAAGATTCGCCTTCGCTTTCGAAATTTTTGAGCCAGTCCTTGAGGAAGTTTGCGAAGTCGCCTGTTCAAAGCTTGAATAGGCATCTTTTCAAGTTTCTCGTCACTTGACAAAGGTACGACTGATCGGCGAGAAAGGTAATTGGAATTTCTTTGTTTGGATTTCTTAGCTTCATTCTGTTCAGACGAGTCCCCTGGTGCCTGAATCCTTTTACTCGAGTTAGCTTTTAAGAGATCTGCATTCAATCCATTGTCCTTGCTGGTTGAAATTTCCCTTTCCAAATCGGCCTGCTTTTTTGACGGCCAATCTTCTTTGAAGGAGTAAATCGGAAAAGAGGAGCCCTTCGGTGGTCGTCCATTTGTCGCCTCCATCTTTGTTACTTGATAGACGTTTACAATGAAAACACAAATTTATTGTCGAATCAAATTGCAAGGTAATGATGTAAGGTTTAGGGGATTCCCCGTTCATTGTTATTATTTTTGGATGAGATTAAACAGATTTTCATAATGGTCGCTTTCTCATAACTATCCCTCGTTTACCGATTAAGGGTAATTTTATGAACAATAAAACGAATTCGTTTAGGACTCTTTAGTAAATAAAATGCGGCGGATTAGCCAGTATAAGAACAGTTTCAGTTGCCGAATTTTTAGGAGCCTAACTTAATGGACCGATGCAAAATAACAAAGTCGTGCCGGTCGCCAGCGGATTCAGACATCGACTTTGATTAACCGTTTCAGAGTCGTTTCTGATACAGTTTCAGGACTTCTTAAGGTTTCAGAATAAAGCTCTTCTCCTGACGTATTTAACATCGCACATGATAATTTTGGCGCGTAAATCAAAGCCGTTACAAGCCGTCGTTCAGACAGAGTTCTAAGCGTAGCCAAGCGTTATAAACGGTATAATCAATTATTAATCAATTGAAATGCCAGACTTTTCATGTGCAGATTGAAAATTTTTCAATAAAGGCTGATAGTTTCGAAAGAAACTGTTTGGGGCTGCGTCGGTGGGAGTAACGAAATAATTTGGATATATCAACAAAGTTGAAATGGTAAATTGGCCACCGTAACGATTTCAAAAGCTGACGTTTCGAGCGTTAGCCCTTCGTCGGAACGAATAGAGGAATTGTGGGTTGTGTGTGCTTTTAAAGGCAGAAAATGGAGCCACGTTATTGGTGGGAACATGGCTTATTGATCGACATTCAGCATTACAAACGTCGCATAAGGAAGATTCCGACCGCATTCCATTCACTCTCACGTTTCACCTTCACAACCACTCAGTTAAATCCATCATTCTTAAAAACTTTAAATTACTTTAAAACGATCCAGAGACAAGCACTATCTTTTCGCAGCCTCCGCTCATTTCACTCAAACGCGACAAAAACATAGGCAAGTTCTCTTCAGACTAATGACCAACCAGGCACTTTTAAATGTGCTCGTGCACGATGCAAAACGTGTCCTTTCATTCACAACACTGATAAAATATCGGGACCTAAACGATCCATTAAGATCACCTATCACTTCACGTGCACCTCCGCCAATGTAATCTATTGCATAGTTGCACTTATTGCAAAAAGATATACATCGGCGAAACAGGCAGAAGACTAGATGACCGATTCCGAGAACACCTTCGAGACGTGGAAAGGAATGACAAGGACACATCGAAGCCAGACGCTAGACATTTTAATTTACCTGATCATTCAAAGCAACATATGGCAATCTGCGGTCTTTCCTTACACTTAGGTAGCACGGAAAGCCGTAAGAATCTTGAACAAAAGCTCATCTTTCAAACCGGCAGTCTAAATCCCACAGGGATCAACGAACGCTTTTCATTCCACTAATTTATTCTTGTTTTTCTCGTTGCCATGTTCCCACCAATAACATAGCTCCTTTTTCTGCCTTTAAAAGCACACACAACCCACATTTCCTCTATTCGCTCCGACGAAGGGCTAACGCTCGAAACGTCAGCTTTTGTGATCGTTACGGTGGCCAATTTACCATTTCAACTTTGTTGATATATCCAAATTAAAATTTTTGAGCCCGCCATTTCGGCGACGGAACATCATAATCACCTATACGCTTTACTTCAGCTCAAGCGCGATGCCACCAGACATAAGTGGTAGTTTAATATAGCTCTAGACCCGTACCTTCAATGTTTTCTTGTTACTAGGAAACATAAAGATACCTTTATTTGGGATGTTTTTGTGTATTACATGGTCATTAAACAGGGCGTAGCCAGGATTTTTCAAATGGGGGGTCACAGAGGCTACTCATCATTTACACCGCTGCATTCCCGCGTGTATCAGCGGGCTCAGTCGTATTATCGCGGCATGAAGGCCCATATCAATGGCTTTTACGGCCAAGATATTGTCATGGCGTTTTCGCCACCTGAATATTGTAGGTTGTTTGCTCTAAAGAAGACCTACCAAAGGTGGGGGGGTCACGGGCACCCCAGGACCCCCCCTGGCTAGGCTACGCCCTTGTTGAAGATTCAAAGTTCTCTCCGTTTCCTCATTCCTCTTCGGCAGCTCTCTTCCAGCCCCACCCCCTCAGGCCCTTAACATTAACATACCTATTATGCTGAAAATATTTCAATATTACAAAGTACGCTGAGACATATCAAACATGCCAAGACGTCTATAAGTCTATAACATCCGTGGATATACGTTAAATAGAGGATTACCGTGGTAGAAGGTATTTCATGGAATGCAGCTCTCTTACTATACTTCCTCATGTGACATCATTGGACGGAATGGTGGGGGGGGAGAGGGGGCAGGGTTCAAAATACATCCCTATTTATTTTCCTTCCCTACCCCCTTCGCGCCTTACACATTGCCGAGATTAATTTTTACAGAAACCGATATTTTGACAGATGTCCCCGAATTGAACAGCCCCTATCTGACAGCCAAATGTTTATATCTCTCTTCGCTCTCCAGGAAAGTTTCTTTCAGTTTCGAGAGATTATGTAGTCATTTTCAGTTTCGAAATCCGGGTAAACATGCAGTAGACCGGAACTGAGGAGAGAGTCTCCTTCACTCAAACAGTAATATGGAAAATTTTTGGTTCGTGGATGGTAGAAACAGAGAATGTCGACGAAGCTATTAATATAATTGTATTGTGTGGTCGCAATCGATGGCGGTTGAAAATCAGGATCTCGCGCATTTGACCTAGCTCGACTGTTTCGTGTAACTCTCACTTTAATAAACACAAAATACTGTGTGGTAAAGAGTCAATCACATCATGATAAACGTTTTTAAGAAGAAAAGAACGAGAATAGCGGGGAAAATTTTCTTTTAAGTTTAATTTTTCATTTTTGAACTTGTTATAACTGTCTTGTTTCCATTCTTTAAATATTCCACTGTTTAATTCAACATCAGCTTTATTTCAATCGCTGGAGTCTCATATACTATATATGCATTTCACACGCACTTTTACAGAAATGTCTTTATATAGTCTTCTTATAAATCATATTATTTTCATTACTTCTTCAGCAGCAGCGAATTTTCCTGCTTCTTCAAATTCCAATTTCCCTGAACTGTCAAGATTTCTATGTGGCTATGCATATGTATGATTTTTCTGCGAAGGTTGGTATCATGAAATACATATAATTGTGACAAAAAAGGAGCCCAATATTGAATAAGGTGAAAGTAAATCACATACAGTACATCTTTGCAATGCAAAGGCTGAGTTTTATCAGCAAAATCAGGCATCTTTTTTCGGGGCTTCCATTCTCTGTTTGAACAGCGTGAAGGTCTGTTGTAACTCAATATATTTTTTCTGGAAGGCCTCTTTCTCTTTCGAAACTCTCAGCAATGTCCATCTTCCATCATCCACTTGTTTCCTCAACGAGGTGTTCTCGTTGATCAGATCTTCGTGTTCTTGTTGTTTTCGAAGACGGCAAGTGACGGCGTAACCTCGGTTCTTTAAGTTGCGTCTTCGCTTTCTTATCTTCATGGCCTCGTTCCCAGGGACATTTCGCAGCAACCTGTTCAATTCCCGCACCCGCATGCTCGCAATTTCCTCGTCAGTTAATTTTCTAACATCTTCAGGGGTTGATTCATCATCTGACGACTCTGAGGTCGCGTAATCATCGTCCTGATTTACTTCTTGGTTGGTCTCCCCGTCGAAAAGATCTTGAATATCACGATTGCTATCTTCGTCGGCCATCGTACTGGATTTCTTCCCAGGTGAAACGTTTTCAACAACCCACGGAGTGCTTAAAGGAAGATCTGTTTCCTCACTGGCGAGAAACAAATCCAGCACATCTATAGAATCTTCCTCCATGATGAAATGAGAATCTGTGGGTATCTCGTTCGGCTGAGGCTGTAATATCTAAGCAGTTTACATCATCCACGAAACGAATGTCGCGAAGTTTAAGCGAAGAGCCGTAATGATATTTACACAGGTAAACTTGCACAAGCCAATCAGATACCTGATATATGCTTCTATATTGTATTTTGATAAGGGGAATCCCCTAACACGCTTCCAGGAATTTTCGAAGAGCTTTTCAAGATTTTCCGAGAATCAATGCCATATTGGCATGCTTATTTCTCCTGAGTGAATGTTTCGAAACGAATTTTCCACTAGCGTTTATTATTCCTGAGATAGTTAGGTTTTGATACGCATTTTCGAGGAAAAACTCCAATCGAGTAAAGTGATCGGTTCAAGAAAGGGTGAGGGGTCTTTCAACGTCCAATCATGTATCGACTCCAGAGTGAGGAGATAAATTCGTATACGAAGTATGCAGATTTGCTGACATTGAGATATTTTGTTTCATCTTTCATCACAAACATGTCGGTTATTTAAAAATAAGACAGGAAAAACCTATCAAAACATATATGGGGAGAAGAAAATGATTAAAAAAGGCATTTCGGATAGACACTTACTTTTATTTGTCAAATTATAACGGCTACTTTTGAGGATCTGGGGTTCGTCGGTTAACGTAAACAAGTTTGTATCCTTTTTCCATCGGCTTCTGCCAGGGTTTCAATTACACTCTATTTCTATACAGGCTAAGTTGGCCGGAAAACAAGAGACATCTCTATATTTACCGTGAGAAGGGAAAGGGGCTCAGAGAGACGGGATCGATCACAACGAAAACAGTAAAAAGGAGTACTAAAGGCTAGTACCAGCAGTGGACCTCAAAGATAATGAACGAAACAATAAAACATCTATGGATGGTACCACAAGACTTTGATGAAAAACTTTGTTTTGAAAAATCAAGTCTTGCGTTCATTCAAAAGGGACAAAGTCTAAGAGGACCTTCACGTCAAGCAAAGTGATCCATACCCCGCTATAGTAGGTCTAAATACTACACTCACATCGTCAGTTTCTTTTTTCTCTTTTTTTTTTTTGTAAGGGGGGTGGGCGGGGGGAAAGGATCATTAAGCTTTCGCTATCATGTAAAGGCCCCTTCTCACAAAATTATCAGTTATTCCTGCATTAAAATTAATTTTGTTTTCATGAAAGATTTTGTGATCAGAAACACGGTGTCCTTGAGGTGTAGGTTATGATCACAGATGAGGGGTCTTTCCATCCACTCCGGGTGACTGTTTTAACCTTTTAAAAGTCTGTATACCGCAAACCACCAAGGAAACGTGAGAAGATATGCGAGCGTCATGTGAATGATTGCAAAAAAAGAATACAAAAAGAGGCTCATATCGCTAGTAACAGTGGTAAATAAATGAATTTGTGACATTGCTTATATTGTAACGCCTGGTAATAAAAATTCGACCGAACTTGTACCCGAGTGAGTAAATTGCAGTAAGTAATGCCTCATTGAAGATTTTATAATTCGATTTTTGAAACGAAATCTTCGGCGATATCGAGTCGAATTTCTGTGTTTTCGTTCGGCCTGTATCAGCACTGTTGGTCACTGTTTACTCTTATTCTCTCCCGAGTCAAGCAGTGTGGGTTACGATGTTTAGTCCCTTGATCAGAGAGCCTGGAATTAAATTCTAGTTTTCATTGACATATTATGATTTATAATCAGACCTTACTTGCCCGATTTATCAATTCATCAACAGCAGTGAATGAACAGGAATGTACGAAGAGTGAGCTAATAATACAATGTCATTGCTATTTTGGATAAGTCATGGAGCTCATTTGTTTTGTCTGGATATTTAATTTTATAAAATTAATGAGATACTACGAGTACCTTAATTAATAGAAAATCGATTGTTTATTGCACACCCATAGAAAATTGAAGTTTATTTCACTTTCTATTAGTTTATAGGCGCAAAATCTCCCCCCTGGGATGTTGGGAAAACACTTGAAAAGTTTGTAGATCACTTGTCACCTGGCACTTGAATTATAAACTTATCTCGTGTTCTGCCAACATGCCACATAAGTTATTACGCCAATAAACCAATAGAAAGTGCTTTTTATTGCTTTATAAAGTCAACTTCAGTTTTCTATGCTTGATGGTTTGAAAGTTAAGGCAGAAATAAGGTTGAGAGTGAGATGCGAATTTTTTCAAAACACAGTCATTCCTTCTTCGTGTCTAATGACGCAGGACAAGTTCCGGTGCGCTTGAGCTGCGATACTTTACTTTTGAATAACAACATTCCTTTAATTCCAGATTGTCTCAGAAAGGGAAAACGTGTTTCCTTAAAGAACTGTTCGTCAAGATAAACTAGAGTGGAACAACGACGTATTTTTGAAAAACGGTTCAAAACTTTAATGTTTGACTGACTATCACGGTAGATCGAATTGCGCGAATTTGAAATGACAGGAACGATTATTTATTTTCTTCTTTCGCATCACCCTTACGAGTGCTTATATTTTTTGTAGCTTTTTTATTTTTACCTGTGTGTAAGGTAGGGAATAATTTCACAAAGTGTATACACAACTTCGAGAAAGGTGGTAAAATATATTTTCTGCAAAGTGCTGGCGAGTTTGCGTGACACAATCTGTCTGTGGTGATCTTATTAATGCGCAGCGGCAAAAATATATCCATCGGACTGTTTTCATGATCCATTCAGATTGAGGGAACTAGCCTTTGACATTTGTGCATAATATTGATCAATCAATAAAGCTCAACTCTTCTTTATAACACAATGTGCTTTTTTAGCTGTCACTCGTGACTTTCACGCTCTGAATAGTTTATGCTCCTAATGTCACGCATGTCTGCTCCTCAGCTCAATAACAAAAATGATCACATGTTTGTTTCACAAAGGCGTTTTAGTTTGACCTCCTCTGTAGCGCCCAGAGTAAATTCCGAAAAAAAATGCTGTAATTATTGATGACTTGAAGTACGAAAAGAACTGAATTTCCGGGGAGAAAATCCACACAGTTAGGAACGAAATACATCGCGAAGATCGCATCCAAAGTGCATTTCATTTGTTTCCACGAAACTGGCTCGAGTTCCTGGAAAGCCTCGTGCGACGAGTTTTAAGGAGTGGCGAACACGCAGTAGTTTATAGCGATCTTTTTCATTATCCTTTTTCTGTCTCGAGCAAATACTTACGGATTTGCAAAACGCATTAAATTCGAAATCTTTCGTGTATTCTCCGCTTAGTCGGTACGAATAAAACATCAGTTCGTATCTATAGTTTTGTTCTAGTATAGCGACTCAACAACAAATAATCCTCTATTCTTTCTCGCTCTCTGTTTCGATTCCACCAGACCTTATGCTTTAATAGGGTCCAATTACGGAAATTTGCGTATTTTCTGCAATAGAAAGATAAAGCTACATTCATATAACTCAATAACTAAATCTGAAACTGTACTCTTACTCAATTTAAGGAAGGTGTGCAAAAATAAACACCCACACAATCTGAAACTAACTGCTTGTAATTTATTCAGCAGAAATTAAACACATAACAAGTGAATGTATTTCTGTTCCTTTGGACAAAATTATTACTTACAATTTCTTTTATAAAGTTCAAATACTCCACATACATTTAAATAATTCTTTCTGGAAGTAATATGACAAAATTTCCGTGGAACTCATAATAATAGCATTGAAGTGAATTTAACCTTATCAACAACTGAACAAGACATGTGGCATGTTAGGTTCTAAAATATATTCAACGTAGCAAAATGCATAAATCTAAATTGATCTGACTGGCAATTCTTCCATCAACAGTACCATAGTTAGTAGAGGAGACTACTAACTATGACAGTACCCAAAGACTTTGCACACTACACTCAACTCTTAACTGGATAATATTCAAAATATATTACATCCAACGATTTAAAGTCGATAGAAATTAAGGACAATGCAAGGTTTCGTACAAGATGAAGATCATTCAATTATATCAAACGCTGTAAAGAAATAGCTCCACCTTTGTCGCGATATACTATGAGCGGGATTCACAACGTGGCATGACGAAGTGTCTCAAGCTCAATGTCACTAACATAACAAACATTCACTGAGTATTTTCCTTGAGCATGGGTTCTTAGACTTTACGAAATTCTAACTACAGTCAGCTCAGTTTCTTTCGTGGTCATGTCATCCACAATATAAGTGCAAAGAATAGAAATATGTACATGAATGTAGCATCCAAAGTGTTATTATCACCGATTTTCATGAATGCAACGGCCGCTTACGGCTCAAATACAATGCCTGGAGTTGTTCAAATTTCTTCTTATACATATCCCTGTCTCTCAAAGTGTTGCAAAGGTTTTCCCTCGCTTCTTTCAGTTCCAATTTCAAGCGCTGGTTTTGTTGTTCGAGGCTTTCTTTCAATGCCGTGCGTCTTTGTCGACAGAGTGTTGCATAGCCACGATTCTTAAGACTTCTCCTCCGTTTTCTGATTTGCTTTGCCGCCGTTTTTGGCAAGTTTTTCAACCGTTGGTTTAAGAGTCTTATAGAGATACTGATCAATTCATCGTCGGTAAAGATATCTTTGCAAACTTGAGGACTCTGAGGTTCGCTGCTGACGGTAGATTCGGTCTCGAAGTTGTCCAAATCAAGTCTTGTTTGTAACAAAACATTCTCGAAGTCTTCTTCGCCAACCAGATCTTCCAGTCGATGGTTTTGTGACCAATCTGGAACGCAAAAATCGCTCGAGAAGTCACTTTCCAGTATTTCGTCCATTGGGGACATTTCTGTAAGGTACTCGTTGTAATCCATGTTAACGAAATGGCAATTCAACTAGAAATGAAACATATGACAGCACAATTTCCCATCAAAATTTAGCTTGATACGGGGTTCAGTGGATTTCGTCCAATCATACTGCGAGATTTGGTTAAATCCCACCCGCCTGTCAATCATGAAAACGGGGAATCCCCTAAAGGGTTCTTTTTAGCTGAAATGTCAAAGCACGTAGTAGCTTTTGCAAGGTGAAACTGATCTTGGAAGCTTAAAAAATTGTGTTTCTTGTCCACTGAAAATGTTTGGAAACACTCCCCTAACCGAAAAAACTAAGTTGTAACGAATTTTTTCTCAGATCTAAAAAAAAATGGAATTACGTCATGTTTAAAATTTTTATAATTCTATAGTTTTCCTTCGGTTTTCTTCTTGCCTAAAATTCTCATGGATGATCCAGCTATTTCTTTCTCGCCGAACAGCTGAAATATTCCTGAAAATTCGTATTTCATTGGCTACAGTTTTTTATTTTTCCGTACAGGTCGCACCTAAACGCGAAGGGAAAGTCCCTTGCCCTCTGAAGGTTAACACAAATAAAAGCAGGTATGAAAAATATGCAACGAACATATTGCATCCAAATTGTGGAATCGGTAAATTTTAATAGCTAAAATATAAAAATGTTATTTTCTTATCGTGGAAACACTTTTCGTAAAAGGAAATGATTGATTTTCACATCAAACATCTCTGAGCGCGGTTCATGAAAGACTTTGAAGTGTCACGCATTCCAAAAAGGGAAAAACCCCTTCGGAAATGAAACAAAGCATCGACTTAATGTCAGATGCAAATTTTCACTTTCGAAACTGAAAGTAAAATTCCCTGATGCCATTACCCGTAATACGTGTTTCTATTTTGGCGATTTGGCCCATGGACATTGAGCTTTTGGTTATTTAACTTGACTCTACAATAATGCTAAGTCTAGGCCACGATTTTCGCTGTATCGAGACTTTTGCCTTGAGTAGGGAAATTTCCCTTAACCTTTGAGGGCCAACATTATATGAAGTGCTTCATACACAGTTATCCGCGATGTTGCCATAACAATTCAAACGTAAAAAAATTCTTATTGTTCTATCTTTTTTATTATTATATTTTCTTTTCTGTACATAGTTTTTCAACACACACACACACACACACACACACACATATATATGTATATATACTTATATCTAAAACTTCCTTTTAGAGAGAGAGAGAGAGGGTAGGTATCTACTCTCTACCTTTTCATGATGCTCACCATTTTATCTTAATTACAATTCGGTCAAGGAAAAGATCGATTTATTTTAAGGGTCGATATTACTCTGGTTTTTTCGGATTCATTCTCCTTTCATCTAGTTACCTTGTGGTTGCAGAAAAAATTCCAGATGCTGTATTTCAGGAAGGACATGATCTTGGCTGACAAACATAAGTTCCTGTTACCCAGCCAAAAAAAAAAAGTACACTCTTGAATAATAAATAAGTTTACGATCCGCCGCTCACTCATATATTTTTACAGCTATATGCATTTCACCTAAAAGACGGGGCGTCTGTAGTCAATATATTGGTGTCAGATCGGCTTTGAGGGGCACATGATAAATCATTGTATTAAAAGTTGACTTCTGAGGATTCAGATACGCTCGTTAAGCGAATATTGGAAGCATGGTAAATGTTCACTCTAATTACATGCGCAAAAAGCGAAAATTTTCATCAAGGGAAATTCCCTACCGTTGATTTCGCAAGTATTTGTTGTCAATAGATCGAAATCAGTTTCGCTTCTCGGACGAGCAAAGAGTTATAAAACAGGGACAGGAAAGGAGACAATTTTCGTTAGCAGCGTAATATTTAGTTTCTAGTGGCAGTAAAGTGAACACACATGAATCAAACTGAGCTTCTCTTTCGTGAGGGCTTTATCAATGGAAAATCGTTATACATGATAAATTATATCGAGTTTGATTTATAAATAGCGTAAATTGTATTGCAATACCAATGATAAATAAAATATATGAAGATAAAGGCTCTCAAATACGTTCATGTTGCATCCATTCCGGTCTCTGTTGTGAAAAATATATAGATACTGTCTGAAACGGAAAGAAAACAGACGCTGTGGCCAAACAGATTAAACTTGTTGAAAACAAGGGATTCCCCTGATATCGTTTGTGTTTGCAGAGGTACTTTCCCGCGCTGGGCGTCGTTAACGAAACCGAACCTTTGCCCTAAATAGCATTGCTTTTATACTGAAGAACATGAGGTCCGTCGATCGTAAATTTCTCATGGAGAAGATGGATTCTTATCTTGACTCGTTTGGAGGGGGCGAATTTACTTTGAATAACACGCACGATCGACTAACAGTTTCTGATGGTGTTTGTTATACACGTGTGGTTGAAGGACTCCCGATCGCACCAGAACGCCCTACAGAATCGGCCAATCTTCACCAACAATCGAATCACAATCGTTCTCTTTCTTTCAAAGTAATCAAGAAGCTACTCGACGATGAATACCTCGAAACGACGTCGATTCAAGAGTTGAACAGGAAACTTCGTCGGCTGCCTGAAGGGCTGATGCAAAAATTTAGGAAGAGGAGGCGAGTTCTCAAGAATCGTAAATATGCTCTGAAGTGCCGACGGAAAGGGATGCAGAGACAGAGTTACATCGCAGAAGAAAATGCAGCTCTTGAACGAGAAATTCTCCGTGCAAATATGGAATTGAAAAAAGTTTCCCAAGAAAGAGATAAATATCGACAGAAATATGAGCGATTCGTAGATGCTGTGAAAACATCAAGCGAGTTGCCAATGGCGGAGTATGACAGAATTGTAATGTAGCCTCAACTGAAAAAGGAACTTAAAACTTAAAAGAAAATAAGTTCAATCATGTTCATTGCTTCACTCTGACATATTATTTAATTTGTGGTCCTAAGAAGATACTCGGTCCGAGACTCTTCTATTTTCAATGCTTTCAAAACCGAAAGATATTGGGGGATTCCCCTTACGTCATCTTCACTGGGCGGAGCTTTTAATCATTTCTGTCAATATTTCAAAATTAATTTGATTGACTACCTGAAAAAGTCACGTGAGTGGTATAGCAGCATCGCAACTTTCGTATCCACAGCCATGTGCTTAGTTTGGTCTGTAATCTACTGACAACGGACAAAACATGACCGATGAAGAACTTTATGACGATTTGCAAAAAATGGAGGACATTTTTGATGGAGGATTCGCTGTAGATGAATCCAGCTCTTATTGGTTCGGCCTTGATCCGTCTATAGCCGAGGATGAAAGACCTTCAACACAGACGCGCCTTTATTCTGAGCGCCTAGAGTATGACACAACCAGCTCAACGCCTGGTGAGCAGATCACCGACTTTGAGGTCGCAACACTCCCCATACGCGAACTAAACAGACGTTTGAAGATCCTCCCTCAAGCTGAAATATTACAAATCAGAAAACGCCGGAGAAGCTTGAGAAACCGCAATTACGCGACTAACTGCCGTCGAAGGCGTGCAGCCCTTAAAGAGAGCTTGCTAACAGAAAATAAGCAATTGAGAGATCAGCTACGAGAGGCAAATGAAACCCTTTCCAAAGCTTTGAAAGAAAGAGACTCCTACAAAAGAAAGTTTGCAGAACTACATAAGGCATACGTCACCTTTAATAGACCTAATGTTGCAAGAAAATGGTAACTTTGATGTAATGAGATTCAATATTGGACAGACAAATTATTTTGAGTAAGTTCGATCATCGGTCTTAAATATCGGCACAGAAACAAGAATGTTACGTGTTGCTAGAGCTTTCCGTCAAAATTTTATCATGTGAAGTCGAGTTAAGGTTAGTGTACTTCATATGTATTCCAGTTGTACAAGCTATTTTGTGTAATGTGTCAAAAGAATTTCATCATTGGTCATATTTCTCATATCTTAGCATATTGTTATTACGCTAAGGTTGATAACTTTTGTTTAGTTTTTGCTCATGCAAATTCCTTAAATTCATCTTTAGAGATTCAGATACAACTGTCGTGTTACTATTTAAAGTTGCCGTTTGAATGGCTTTGTATTCAGTCGATGATAAAATAATCTCAATTTCTTTATAACGAGTTGAACTCCATATGAATAGTTATTTTTAGATCTTCTATATAACGCCAGAAGCATACTGTAATTCGAACAATTGTATATACATGTTGTTTTGTTCAGAAAGGGAAAAGTTCTACTTTCTTACTGATAACAACGATATTTGGTATAATAGCTAAAGTAAATTAAGTAATTTTGTTGGAAGTCAATAAAAATTTTCTCGGTCTTTAGAGAAAATGATTATGTCTCATTGAGAGATCAGTTGATGTTTTAACCAACTGAAAAAAACTATTTTGTGTATTCTATGATCGTGTCGAAATGCTGAATATGTCGTAATTAGGAAGGAAGTATTTTTCGAAGCAAGTGAATCAAGAGATATTCGTGTAGTTTTAGAGAAACTGTAATCAACTCCACTTTGGTGATGTATGTATTTGTATTTGATTATGTTCAAAACTCAATCTTTAAAACTGAAATAAAGCAGTTTGTCAAGTAATTTATCATGCATAATCTGTACTGACTTCAACAAAGCGGGTTTTACCTTTGCTAACCTCGCACAATTTGCCTTGGGTCAAACCATTGGACTTCAGTCGCTAATGCTTTCAAAATTGTCCTTGAGTTAGTTTATTTGCTTCATGTCCATTGATACTCCTTAGTTTAAACATGTATGACTCAGGGAACTATCACTTTGTGATATCACAACATAGATTGATGACCAGGGCGACAGTTTCATTCAGTAAAATACCACTACCCTCCATGTGCCTAAAACAAGAGAGGGTGGCATTATAGCAATCGTCAAAGTTTATCCATCGTGTGACATACAAACGAGTAGTGTACGTAGTATTGATCAAAATTTTGAATTTTCTTCGATCGAGCCAAGTGCCCCCTAGAAATATTAAACTTAAACTTAAAAACTTTAATGATAAATACTCCCCAAAAAAGGTTTTTCAGTGCCTATTTACAAATATGAATGCTAACTATATCTGACAAGCTATTGTTAAATTCTAAATTCTAACTGTCACTCGATCATTCGTTCATGGCAAGTTTCAGGACTTTCTTAAAGGCCTTTACAGATGTAACGTTTCTCAGGTCTTCGTCTAACATGTTCCACAGTGATACTGGTCTATAGGCAAAGGACCTTTGGCCGGTAGCTGATCTGAATAATGGAATGTCAATCTTCTCATTATTACGAGTTATGCGATTATGTACAGAAGATCGTTTTTTAAACTTAGCAGATAGATATTCAGGAGCCAAATTGTTGACACACTTATAAGCTATAACGGCGTCTCTGAATTTGAGTATTTTGTCAACTGGAAGCCAGTTGAGTTCATCCAGTAATGGCGTTACATGGTCAAATTTCCGATTATCATTCTCGGGGATGAAAAGTCAATCCATTGTCAGTTACACTTAATATTTTCATCGGGTTCGCAGCAGCTGTTAAGCTAGTATCCAGCGCCCATTTAGTGGAAAGAGGCACTGCCGGTAAGAGTAAAGCATCTTGGTCAAGATCATAACAATACAATCTAAGAGACTCGAGACTAGAGCCACCTATCAGGAGTCCAGCGAGTTGATCGTGAAACCATCGTGTCTTTCAAATCGCATAATTACGATTCTTGAAGGCTCGGTAACATTTATAAGGGACGTCCCCTTTACGAACTTGATATTCAATTTCGTTTGGGTTGAAGTGCCAATTCGAGACACACATGAATTTCGAGCAATTTGAATAAAAAGAAAAATTTGACTTTTTCAGTGGACAGTCACTTAATTTGAAATGGGCTAACGTGCACGTCGAGATATTTAATCCATAGAGGGAAGAAAAACCGGCAGGTGTACACACCAACACACACACAATCTCCCACCCCCTTCCCTTGGCTCAAGGTCTGGATCTGCCACTGGTTACACATGAGGCAAATTGTATAAAACGAAACGTACTCCTCGTGTGTGATTATTTGTTCGATTGCTCGCATTGTTTTTGTTTTGCGATTTCCATGCTTACCAGGTTCAGTTAACTTCCGCCTTTGCATACTTTTATGCGGCTCTTCGCATCAACATGCGCAGTTCCATAATCCATGGAAACAAAAAATGAAAAGGGAGTGACAGACATTCAGTTTGATTTATTTCAGTGCTTAGCATTCACGGGGAATTCCCGCAAAACATACCTTTTGCCTGGGATCAACTGTAATACTTCTTTCCCAAATTAAAAAAAGAAAAAAAAAAAAACAGAAAAAAACTTGAATGGTTGCAAGCGTTTGTTAGCCCTACTGGTTGGCAAGACTTGTAGCTAGTCGGCAGGACTGGGTGTTATCGTTTCTATTATCTCGTTGTTGTGTATACTCAGACGTCTCCTGAAAAGTCTAAGAATTAAATAGCACCAGGGAATTCTATTAGAAACGAAAACGAAAGTTTTCCTGTTTTCGAAACTTGAGTATCCAGCTGCAACTCTGGGGAAAAACCCTAACTGACACTTTCGCCAACGAATTGTAATTACCTTCTGATAAGGGAGAAATTGTTCATTAACGCTACACTTGTTTTATCATGGAGGGAGATCTTGAAGCTCTGTTCGACTTGTATCCCACCGATGCCATGAAGCACATTTTTGAAAATGCATGGACGGAAGAGGGTCTTCTACTTGAAGAAAACAATATTTCCTCCGACACAGATCGCGATATCCAAGATCTTTTCGACGGTGAAACAAGGAACGAAGTAAATTATTTATCTTCTGAATCTGAGACCGAAAGCTTGGATTCTTCAGATATCACAAAAATAAGCGACGAACAAATTCAGAATCTCCGCGTGCAAGATCTCAACAAGCTTCTTCGGGACCTCCCGCGGGACGAGGCAGCAAAAATAAAGAAGCGAAGACGTAACTTGAAAAATCGAAACTATGCTTTGAATTGTCGCATTCGCAAACAGCAAAGATACGAAGATCTGCTTAACGAGAACACCTCGTTGAAAAAGCAACTGGAGAATGAGAGAAGGCAGCTGAGAAACGTCTGGAAAGAGAAAGAGGCGTACAAGAAAAAATGTCAGCATTTGCAGAGGGAGGCCTTTTGAGCTATTGGCATGATACTAAAGGATGACAGTGTATGTGTCCATAAGTGATAGGCTATTCTATTACATCGTTATGACTTAAAATATTCAGCGTACAAATATTATCATGATACATTGATAGACTGTAATCTAGCAAGCACTTTTATTGAGCATATGTATTCGGCTGTGTTTCAAATAATTCCAGCGAGTACCACCCTTGAAGTCAAGTTTAGTACAATCCGAAATAGGCTTAACTCTAAATATTTCCAAAAATAGCTCAAATGAAGCAAGGCTGTCAATAAGGTGTAGTGATGTCTGAAAAGTGAAATT